TCCGTCTGCTCGCTTCCTCCACAGTTGAGTCTGCGTGACAATCCGCTGGTGGTGCGCTTCGTGCAGGACATGGCGCTGAAGCCACCCACCCTCCTGGAGCTGGCTGGTCGCATGGTGAAGGCCAGCGGCCAGAGACCCGGACCCTATGACATTCCCAGGACACTGGCCGAGTATTTGAACAGCGCCAACTGCTGCGTGAATCCCAACTGCAAGGGCGTCTTCTTCGACAACCGCGTGGAGCACATCAAGTTCGTGGACTTTTGCGGAAAGTATCGTGTGCCCTTGCTGCAGTACCTCTGCTCCTCCAAGTGCATCGAGCCGGAGCAGCCGGCGGCGCGCGGCTCATCCGTTCCGGCGGCGATCGCCAGCAGCGGATTCATGATGCGCAAGGTGCTGCTGGGCTAGCCGGCATTCCGTTCCGGCCCGGCCCACTCCGGCTCCTGGGGCCATTATCATATTATCCGGGAGCGCGAGCGGAGCGTCGATCGATCCGGTATCGGATTTGGAGCGGACACAGAGACACGAAATCGATATCGGATTGGGAATCGGAATCGGAGGCGGAAGCGGAAGTGGAACTTGGCAGCGAAACGGAAACGGAGACGAGAGCTTTAGCGGAAATGGATGCTGGGATCCACGCGTTCCGAGGAACCGATGTGTCCGCCAACCACCGCCGCTCGCCGGGATTCCCATTGGCTTCTTCACACGTTATCAAATCCAATTTGAACTAGTTTGCTAAGTGATGATTACACGACCTGTTTGCTTGCTCGCCTTGCGTGCCAATTTCAGTGTTTCTGTTTGTTTGTTTGTTTGTTTGCTTGCCTGTTACTCACACCTACACAATCTATACCAAAGAAACTCGTCTGGCTTTCACTGGGCAGAAACGAAAAAGAAAAGGATTCGAGTGGCTTGCGAAGCATTTGGCGATTATAAGCGCCGATATGGCCGATTGCACTTGTCTAACGACCTTATCTACCCCATAAATTGAGTTAGTAACCGAAAACTTGAGCACAATTAATAGATATTCCACGAACTATAACTGCAGCCATAATCTAATTTCCGCCCGATTCGATCCGCTCAAGCGACTAATTTATTAATTAAAATGCTGACCAATGACACCATTTAGATATTCCCACAAGTTCCCTAAATGTCCTTTGTCCTGGACTGCCTCTACCAACTTACAAAATTGTAATTTAAGCTGTGCCCAATTGCCAAATTTAGAATAAAAATTGTACCCAACCTTTGGCAACATGCTAAGCCAACCCGACCATGGTAATTCCTCTTCTGTGGCTGCATCTGCATCTCAGCTGTGCCTCCAAAGGATAACGCCTGCGAATTATTATTATGAGTAGTGTTTATTGTGTGTTTAATCGCTCACAGCTCGCCGAAGTTCGTGCCACGGACAGCGTCTACAACTAGAGTATTTAAAAAAAATGGGGAACAGTGGCGAGGGGGTTGAGATACTCGGACTTGTCGCTTGTCAGGGATTGGTCAGTAAAATATAAATACAAAACTAGAGGGCGGCCAACGAGTGGGTCACAGAGAAAACAGGGAACGAAACACGGAACAGTCAACAGGATCTAGTGTCGGATCGTGTCTGGGCTGCGACTTACGGCTACGAAAGGGGAGCTACCACAGCTAGCCTTATTGGAAAGTGGTCCGTTGGGATCCAGAATTATTTTCCAAAGCCAGCGCGGGCAGGATTACTTCTGCATTACTTGCGGAATGGGGCGCTTGTCTTAAAATGCTAGTTATATGGAGTAGTAGTTGAATGTAGATGTTTTTCGGCTCCTGGATGGGCACGATCTACTGGATCATCACCTCCTGGCTGGTGTCGTCGATCTCCATGGCGGCCGACTCGTCCTTGGCGGCCTCTTCGGTGGCCATTTCGGCGGCACTGCCGCTTTCGGCCATGACCACCTCATCGACGGCGGCCGATGGCGAGACGCGTGCCTCCTCCTCGACCGGAGTGTCCTCCATGGGCTGGTCGTTGAGGGCCAGTACAGGCGGAGTCACAGCGGCGGCGGCGGTCACAGGCGAAGCCTGAGAGTCGTCGGCTGCCTGGGCGGGCGGCGTCTCGGCAGCCGAATCGGCGGCACCCAAAGGAGATTGCGGTGTGGTGGCAGCTGCCAGATCTTCGACAGCGGGACTGGAAGCATCCACAACCGACGACTTCTCGACTAGTTCCTCGACTGCCTCGTCGGCTTCGGAAGTGGTCAAATCGTCCTTCTTCTTCTCGTTCTCTGCAGTCGGCTCGGCAGCCTGCTTTTTCTCCGCAACCGGCTCCTTGGCCGGCTCAGTAGTTTCAGTCTTTTCGGGTTGGCTCTTCTTGGTCTCGGCCTCTGGATTGGCCTCAGATTTGGTCTTCGGTTTGGATTCGGAAGAAGCTATCTTCTCTTCAGCGGGCTTTTCTGCTGGTGATGCAGAGTCAGTCTCAGTAGCTTCGATATCGTCCTGTTTCTCAGCTGCAATTGGTGGATGATTTTTCTCCTCCTTCTCATTTTCTGCCTTGGCTTTGGCGGGCTCCTGGTTTTCGCCCTCGGCAGGCGGTGTAGATTTTTCGACCATTTCCTTTTTGGCTAACTGTGCCAACTTTTCGTCCGATTTTTCGGACTCGACGACCTCTTCTTTCTTTACAATCTCTTCCTGTGGCTCGGCCGCCACCTTTTTATCCTCCTCCACCTTCTTTTCCTGAGCATCCAGTTCTTTCTCAGTTTCTGGAGATTTACTCAGCATTGGGTCTTCGGCATCGTCATCGGCAGATGCTGGGGAATTTTCCTCCTCCTCACCCTCTTTCTTACTGCCGTTAACAGGCTGCTTGGTGGTCTTGGCCTCCTGATCAGCATCATCCACCTCCTCATCGGGCTCCTCGATCTCGGCAGCCTCCTGCGGCGAATCAGTCTCATCGTTGTCACTCTTATCCTCCTTATCGTTTTTCTCCTTGTCTGCCACTTCTGCATCCGGTTCATCAGTCGCCTCCGAACGCTCTTCCCCATCGATCTCCAGTTTTGCCTTCTTGGCCTTGGGCTGCATATTGTCGTCCGATCGCGGACAGCTGGACTTTTGGGCACCACCTGCCGAGCCGGCGCTGGGAGCAGAGCCCTCCTCGGCGTTGCCGTTATTATTTTCCATTTCAATGTCGATGTTCACCTCCATGGAGAGATCCCCGTTGACCACAGAGTCCAACGAGTCGCCGTTCTCACTTTCGGTACGCTTGCGTCCCGGATCGATGGTGCTAACCACTGTAAAAAGATAATACCATGGGTGAGCTAGAATCTCGAATGCATATTGCCTAGTTAGAGTTACATGTATGGGACTTACCTAAAATATTCTTCTCCAAAGCACGCATAAACTTATCGATGCGCGAGTACTGCTTGCGAGGATCGATTAGGAGCTCGCACAAACGCTGCACGGTGAAAGGAGCTGCATTGAAAAGATCCAGGCGCTCCAGCAATGAGGACTTCATGGTCTCATAGTTGAAGGGATCCACATTCGGATAGTTGGGAATCTCTGCAAGGAGTTAAGTTGTTGTTCGGTTAGTTTTGTTCCCATGCCGACCGCGAGGGATTACATTTCGGATATTTAACCTGACCTAAACCCACCATGACAGGCAAAAAACTCACCCTCCAAACGCGGCGAATCCTCATTAAAGTGCTTGATCACGCTGAGCAGCTTCTCGCGGAACAAGTACTTCAGACTGGACCACTTGAAGATGGTGTCCCCGGTTTTGGCCACATACTGCAGATAGTCCTCCAGCTCCTTTGGGATCTCCTTTTGCTTAAGATCCGTGAATCGCTCCAGGATCTGTAGTATCTCGTCGCTGTTCTCCATGGTGAACATTTAGGCGATCGCTGAGCGGAGGGGAAAACTGTGTGTGCGATGGGGAAAGCGAGGGGAAAAGGTGAAAAGTTGTGTGCAAAGAGAGTAGATCAATAACCGGCCGGCAAAATTATGAAAATTTTCCTCCTCGAGGTAGACACACAAAAACCGAGAGAGCAAACGAGCAACTGCAATTGTGTGCAGGTATGCGCAAGACGCGGACATGAAGCATCTTGCATCTGCCAGCTGTCAGATATTCTCTCTCTCCCTCTCTCTTTATCTCGCTCCCTTTTGGTGGAGGATTCGCAGGAGAAAACTAGTTATGTTGCACAGAAGCACACATTTCCTACAATTCGCAAAAGCTGCTCTCACCTTCTTCATGTGTGTGTGTGTGTGTATGTTAGCGGCTGCAACTTTTCTTGCCAAGTCATAGTTGTAGTTGTTGTAACTGCCTGCGCCAGACGGCCAAAAAAAAAATTTTAATATACATGCGACGCCCTGCGATTTTCTATGGCGAAACCGGCCCACCTCAACATATTCATTTCTTGGATTTTCTCGCGCTCCTTGGCGGAACTGAACCTACCACAACTTTTTGCTTACCTGCACTAGCTGTGCTATTGCTTTTTATCACAACTACGCCTTTTCGACTGCACTTAAATTGATGCGAGAACTGGCTCAATCGTTTGGGTTTCAATTATTTTCGCAAGTAATATGACCGTTCGACGCCGGCAGTGCTGGGCGACCGTCGATTGTCACTATCCCCTTGCGAAGATAGCAATCGATGTTTCTTGAGTGAGCATGGCGGTAAATATCGAATATAATCGGACTTTAAATTCAAAAAGAATCGACGCAAAGGACCTTCTACATAATTCCGCCAATTCAGTAGATATTATGAACATTCAAACAGAAACGTATATTCCTGTGCCTTACATGTCAATAACATGCCTCACCTTTCTAAAGTTGTTCAGCCAAATTTGTTGTATAAATTGACCAATACCTAGTCAAACTTAAAAATTAAAAGAATTTAAAATTGAAAGAAAATTTTAGTAAGTATAGGTTAATTCAAATCATATATTGATGAACTGGAAATGTTTACAACAGATCTATAGTTTTCTTACAAACTAAACAAATGTATAATTTATATTAATAAATATATATATGTTTTTTTTTGGAAAAGGCAAAGTCCACCGCGTCAAAGTTGTTCAAAATAATTCGACCCTCTGATCTAATAGTTACATTTCATATTTGGACAAACTTGTCTAAGAGTTTGTACCTTTTCGTTCGTATGTCTAGGTAAAACATTTGGAGTAAGAAGCCATGACTAAGGACTACTACAAGGTACTGGGCATCCAGCGCAATGCCAGTGATGACCAGATCCGCAAGGCATATCGCAAGCAGGCGCTGCGCTACCATCCGGACAAAAACAAGCACGCCCATGCGGAGGAGCGCTTCAAGGAGGTGGCCGAGGCATACGAGGTCCTGTCGGACAAGAAGAAGCGCCAATTGTACGACACCCAGGGCCAGCAGGACACGCGACGCAGTAGCGCGGACCACAGCAGCGATTTCGACGAGGGAATGGCATTTGGTAGCGGTGGCTTTAGCTACCATTTCCATGGCGATCCGCGGGCCACTTTTGCACAGTTCTTTGGCAGCAGTGATCCGTTTACCTCGTTCTTCGAGGACATCGGCCGCCTTTTCGAGACCGACGAGGACTTTTCGTTGGGTAGAGGAGTGGGCGCGGCTGGATTGCGCAGCGCACAGCTGTCACCGGAGCCGACCATCGAACATGAACTGTACGTTGCACTGGAGGACATTGCCAACGGGTGCAATAAGCGCATGAAGATCTCCCGGGCTATGGTCTTGTCCAGCGGCGAGCTGATACGGAAGGACAAGATACTCGATGTCGAGATCCGTCCGGGCTGGAAGTCTGGCACTAGGATCACATTTCCCAAGGAGGGCGACCAGCTGCTCAACCATGAGCCCGCCGACGTCGTGTTTATAATCCGCGACAAGCCACACTCAATTTTCCGCCGCGATGGCAGCGATCTACTGTACACAGCCGAAATCTCGCTGAAGGATGCACTGTGCGGTGCCCACGTGATGGTGCCAACACTGCAGAGCGGGCCGCTGGAACTCTGCACCAAAGCAGGCGAGGTAATCAAGCCGGATTCCACGCGCCGCTTTGCGGGCCACGGATTGCCCCATCCCAGGGACAACACCCGTCGCGGCGCCATCATCGTCAGCTTCTCCATCAAGTTTCCAGACACCATATCCAAACACATCGCATCCTCGCTCGCCATCCTTATGCCAAATTAAACTCTTTCTGGCTACATCGTAGCCACAGCGTAGACAGTACAAGTATGGAGTACAAATTCGTATGGAGCACTGGCGATGTTTTCATCTTGTACGGCACCTTTGAAGATGCGTCGATCTACACACAAATAAATTGTCTGTGCTCCACTCTAAATTAAATTATTTTACTATATGATTCATAAACGGCCTTTATCTCCATAGTATACCTCTAACGAGCATAGTCCGCTACGAAGACCTCCAAGAAGAAAGAAACCAGTGAAGTATAGTTAAATATACATATAATGATTAAACACATTTGTGCGGGATCAGGATTAAACGTCGGCCGGCTTGAACTGCGGATTGTGCGAGCGTGCCATTTTGGCGCGCAGCCACTCTTCCGCGTGCCGCTGCTTGATGTGGACATACATGTTGGAGCGGGAGCGGCACTCCTTGGGGCAATGCGGGCAGTTGTACAGCTGCAGGCCCGCATGGATGGCCATGTGCTCGTCCAGGTTGCGTTGCTGCTTGAAGGTTTTCTCGCAGAACGTGCACTGCAGATTGGTGGTCAGCTTGTGGGCATACTTCACATGACCGCGGAGCGCTGTGCGCGAGGTGCAGGTCTTGCTACAGTGCGGGCACACGGTGTCCGTGCTGTCGTGCGTAAAGCGGTGCAGGCGCAAGCTGTGCTCGTTCTTCAGCCACACTCCGCAGACGGGGCATTCCACTGCCGGGGCCACCACGCCCTGGTGTTCCAGCAAATGGCGCTCGAAGGAGGGCTTGAACTTGAATTTCTTGCCGCAGATGTCGCAAACGTGACGATGCAGGTCTTCGTGGATGGATTGGATGTGCCTTCGCAGGCGGTGCACGTTGGCAAAGCTGTAACAGATAATTCATGATTATATGGAGTACTCAACTCACGTGCCAGTTTCTTATCATCAAAAAATTGATTTTTTTGTTGATATTCTAAAAACAGTGCCATCTCCCTCTCATTTGCGTGCAAATGCGCTATTCTCACCTTTTGCAACAAATCTCGCAGGTGTGTTCCAGTTGGTCGGTGTCATGCTTGGCCAAGTGATTGGCCATACGGCGCTCGCTACTGAAGGTCCGTTCGCACTTGGGGCACGGAAACTTGAGCACCTTGCCGATCTGGGCAACCTTGTTGTGCACCGTCTCGATATGAGTGGCCAGGTAGTCCTGCGAGTTGAGCGACTTCTGGCAAATGGTGCAGCTATGGGAGTTTAAAATCTATGTAACAACAGACACCTAACAGTACCCTCTGGCTTCAAACTCACGTAAATAGCTTGGGGTTGATATGTTTGCGGATGTGGTCCATCAGCTTGGAAGCGCGAGTGAAGATTTTGCCACAGCACTTGATGTAGTACTCGCGCTGGTGCACCTCCAGGAAGTGGGTCTTCAGTTCGGATAGGTAGGGAGCACTAAAGTCACACAGGTCGCAGCTGGCGCTCATGTAGCTGGCAATTGCCTCCTCGTAGCTCTTTGCCAGCTGAGCGCGGGAGCAGCCCTTGGGCTTGCGCTCGAGAACGGCCTGTAGCTCGGTCTCCTGCACCTCGCTGGTTGCTCGCTGGTCAGGTGCCTTCTTACGGCGCCGCTTGCCACCATCGTCGAACAGATCGGCAAGCTCCTGCTGCAGCGAAATTGGACCCGAATTCTTGGAGGAACGTCCTGTGGTCTTGCGCTTGGGCTTCATTTTCGTTCGCAGTCGGACCAGAGGTTCATCTTCAATGAAACAGAAAATTAGTTACAACGAAGCCTCGAGAAACAGAAAGATAACCACCATCTGAAGAGTCTTCTGATTCCGAGTGCCCATCGGGCACCTCCGGTTCGCTATCACTGGCCTGCAGGCAGGGCCTCTCGTCCTCCTCCTCGGTCTCACAAGGCAGCTGCTCCTTGATAGGTTCCCTGACATCCACACTGTCCACATTCACGTCCAGCACGCTGCCCAGCAGGCTAAGGTTGTGCAGGTCCAACGGTTTCTCGTCCATGTCGCCAGCCGCCAGCGGCAGTTCGTCGATGTTAACGTCCACGTCGACACCGCCCGTCCATTTCATGGCCGCACAGTCGACGTCCACGGTGAGAAACTCCTTCTTGAGTGAGCACTGTTTCTGCTCCACCAGCTGCCAGAAGCCATTAAAGTCCTCAAGATGTTCGCAACACTCGGTACAGACGCTGGTCGAGATGCCGTCGTCGGGCAGGATCTGCATGGGATTGTACATTGGTATTTTGCTGGTATCATTGGCACATTAGTTACAGATACACTCACCTCCAGTTGCAGAAACTTCGCAATCATCTTGACCAGGCGCGTCTCGGCCAGCGTATCGTCCGTCTCAAAGAGAAAGACTGCGCTTCCTGGACTGAGACATCGCAGGCAAAGGCGACAAATCATTTCGCACGAATGGAATCACAACGCAAAGTCAAATAAACAATAAATTTAAACAATTTTTCGTTGTAAACAACATTATTCACCTATCGTGAATCGATAACAGTATTCAATTAGGAATGGCAAAACTCTATCTAAGGTATGGTTGGTTTCTGCGGGGTGGCAACACAGCGCTTGAAATATTTTTTCGTTATTTTGTCTTACAACTTATTGTCGACGTTTTTAGTTGCCAACACAGTGTAGTAAAATCGAATATCTATAAATTAAAAATCGAAAATATCGAACTTTAACAATAGTTGGATACATATCGAAACGATGGCAATTTGCGGACGGTCGGGCAGCACTGCAATCCACACATTCAAATCTGGCAACGCTTGCCGTAAAATGGCAAAAAAATAATACATACGATTTAAAACTAATGGAAAATTACGTATTACGTGAAAAGAACGCAACGCAAATAATCAAAATAAAAAGCAATAGCAAGTCGTGTGCGTGTGTAGTGTGTGTGCAAAGCTAAACCCTATCGAACGAAAGGCAAAAATCCGTGGAAAAAGCGAATTTAAACGGGTTTACTTGAAGCTTCCTCACCCGATACCATTTTCTACCTACACTTGCAAAAAAGCGACAGCGCGCGAGAGGGACGGCGCGAGTGAGCGGTGAGTGGGAGAGCGCAGTGACAGTAAGTGCAAGCGAGAGCGCTGACAAAGCCAGCGCAACATAGCGAAAATCGCAACCAAATCGAAATCGAAATTCAACCTAATCGAAGATTCTGGCGAACAAAGACGGCTGCCAACTGACAGCAACAACAACTGCTCGGCACAACGTTTTGGTTGTGCTCTCTTTTGTTTTCGTTCCGTGTTTTCACAAGCGGCGAAACGGGCGCTGAGTAAGCGCCAGAAAGAGTGCAAAAAAAAGGCGAAGGAAAGAAAGAATCCAAGGAGCAACGAACTGTGTTTGCGGTGTGTGCTCTGCGTGCGAAAGGGTAAGCTCTATGGTCTCTCATCCTCTCGCTCTGACCGCAGCCTGAGTCTCGGGCCGAAATCGAGATTTGTTGGCTAGCAGGGACTGCAAATTCAGTTTATTTGCACGGCGCCAGGGTTCGTAAATTGACGTAAATTTTTCGTAGAAAGATACAGTGAATCAGAAAAATACTTTTGTCGGTTTTGTCAAATTGGCCGTGTGCGAGTGGGAGCGAATGGAAGCTCTGCTAGTCATGTTGTCCTGCTCTATGTCGCAAACAGCGTTGCATTTGTCGGCGGCAGGTCATCGTTTTCCGTTTTCTTTTTTTTTGTCGGCATCGATACAAAGAGCTCGTGTTAATTTCCGTTTAATCGGCAAATAGCACGCTCTCTAATTGTTTAACAATTGCCAGGTGTTTGCCGGGACTGCCACCCCTGCATTGGTTTCACTCGGCGGTCTGGCTGGATCCCACCGAACCAGGTGGCAACGCTGCAATCCTCACCACTCACACGCACGCAATACATGCGAAAAGTGAGAAGTGGTAGAGGAAGAACTCGCGGAAGAAGAAGCAGCGGCAAGCTTAACGTTGATCCGTGGAAATCAGAATTAAAAGAAAGCAGTTTATGCAAAGTTCAACAGTCTATTGCAGTCAAATAACCAATATACAGGCGGCCGAGTGTGCCAGCAGTCCGCGGAGCGTTCGAAGTAAACAAATTTAAGCATTTTCCATTCAGTTTATCATCGCTGCCTAACAAACGAAACTCCCCGAGTGTGTGGCTGTGTGCGTGTGTGGTGTTTAACGGTATATTTCACTCGTCTCTCTTTGTTTGCCTTTGCCAGCCAATGTGCACATACATACACATGCAAATATAAATAAAAGGATACGGCTGTAAAGCATAAGAAAAAAAATTGCATTCGTCGATTAAATAATAACTATCAAAGCCTCTCGGTTTCTGCGAACGTAAGTGTGTGTGTGTATGATGTGTGCGCCTGTGCCTGCGTGGTGTTAGTGTGCGTTTTGCTTGTGAATGGTTGTTATTACAAAAAGGAGAAAAAAAATTGTTGCCAAGCGTTTAGACTGTCTTGTACTCCCCACACTTGCATCTGTCAAATTGGTTACATTTTAAATGCCGGCCATTGTTGGTGTTGTTGTTAGGAGGATTTTAGTGGCCCCGTTTTTCTGTTGTTGCTGTAGTTGTCAGCCATTGTTCGTCCGCCCCTTCACGCCCCCTCCCAGCAATTATTACAAGACGCCACCGCAAAAAATTCTTTCAATGCGTTGCCGCTTCTGCCGCTGCTGTGCGTTGGTTGTGTGTGTGCGTGTGTGTGGGCAGACCCGTCTAGCTGTCCCTCTCGCACTGCCGTAGAACAAAGGCAGCCTCTCAGTTGCGTGTGCTTCGAGGCACTGGCTGTCCTGCTCGCACCAAACATTGGTTGCACTCATGGGCGGATCAAAGGGGGGAGAAACTGGGGGATAGTTGCCCCAAACGTTTTCGTAATAAACGCAATATCAACAAAATCCCAATTATTCTGCGAACAGTTTGTGCCAGTTGTATGAAATTACATTTAAGTTGGCTATTATAACAATGCATTGGAAATTTCGAATCAGTTTATGTTATAAAACTCCCAATGAAATTTTTCAGTTTCGTTGGAAAGTTTGAGTAAAACTCGGTATAGTTGAAACCCTTGTTTATTTTTGTCTGAATAGGTTCTCTAGAAATTCGACGCATTGAAAGCGCAAATTTTCCAAATTATTCGCAATAGCGTTCAAGAAAGAACCCCTCAATTTTCGCTGCAGATCCACCTCTGTATGCGTTAGTGGTGCGGATCGGTTGGGGGTGGCTAAATAGAGGAGTTCCCGAACACTAAAAACAAAGGCCAGTGTGCAGTAAACAATTTGTAGGGAGCACCACCCACTTGCAACTGCCTCGCCTCGCCTCCACCTGTACTGAAATTAATTGCTATCAACGCTTTTGGTTTTTGCAGCCCACCAGAAAGACTGAAACAAGGAGCTTCGGCCGAAAAGCGGCGATCCCAGCAGCTTAACCACATTCTCGTCAAGAGCCACAGCCACATCCTAGCCCATCCTCCAGCGCAGCGTGAAGACGAGGAGCGCGGCGGCGGCGTGAAGGAAGCTAACGCTAATGAGGATCTATTGGCAGCATGAGTACACTGGGGGGAAGTAGGGGAGAGCGAAATGCCAAGCCCAAATTCACAGCGTTGGATATAAATCGCATGTACAAGAATAGCCGCGTAAGTAGCGAACCCCTAGACCTAGATCTAGATATTGATAGATCCAAACCTATCTGATCAACAAACTTTTCTTATTGTTTGCAGGGCGAGTCGAGTGAACCATCTGCACAAAAGAATCAAGTGCCACGTAAACATGGAATGCAAATCTTGGGCAAAGTGCCGTCCGCTAGGCGACCACCAGCCAATTTGCCATCCCTGAAGGCCGAGACCCACACCAGCAGCAACAACAATCTCCTAGTCTCAGTCGAAGGTGGGTGCTCTGCGAATTCATCTGATTAATGATGGTGTGGGTAATAAGATGGACGTTTAACTGGTTGAATTTCACATTTCAGGAGCCACATCAGGAGGATCGGGCGCAGGCGGAGCAGCGGGATCTGGTGCGGCAGGAACCAACACTAGCCACAACAACACCACTGCCCACAGCGGAAGTTCAGGAGCAGGCGGCGGAGCGGGATCAGGCGGAGGAGGAGCTGCGTCTTCATCTGCTGGGGGCCATCTATCCCAGCAGCTGACTCACAGCCAGCACCAGCACAACAATAACGTCGGTCTCGGCCCTAACGCCGGAAAGTTTGTCAACAGCAACAACGGCAACAGCAACAACAACGCCGGCAGCTCGGGCAGCGGCAACAAGAACTTCAAATTAATCAACAACTCCGTGGGCAGCTCCGGCGGACAAGGAGGGTCGAGCGGCGGCGGATCATCAGGAGTAGGAGGAGGACCAGGATCAGGATCGGGCGGACACTCAGTCAACTCGCCCAAGACATGGTCTGCCATCACCACAGGACACGAGCGGGGCTCGGGCGGTCAGAACTATGGGCGCCAGCAACAGCAGGTTGTGCCCCACTACCAGAGTCCGCAGTTCCAGTACGAATTTCCCACGCTGGACGGCACAGTTGGCAGCGGCGCCGGCGGAGGATCGGGGGCGGGTGTGGGTTCCGGATCTGGAGCAGGCAAGAGCCATTACCAGAATCAGGCGCACCATGCCGGCCACCAAAACCATCACCAGCATCAGCAGCACCACCAGCAGCATCAACAGCACCACCACCAGCAGCAACAGCACCATCGGGACTACCACCATGGCCACGGGCGCCAGTATGGACACCACTCACATCGCGACTACAGAGATGGCAGCGACGACGTCGGCGGCGGGTCCGCGGATCTGGGCGAGCTCAGCCTTCGTCCACAGAACGACACGGCCGCCTGGCTGCAGCAGCAGGAGAAGGCGGCCAAGGTGGCAGCAGCTGCGGCAGCGGACCAGGGCCTCAACCTACAGGGCCCGGCCCACCATCAGATGGGCGGTAATGGCGGAGCAGGAGGAGGTTCGGGCGGAGCTGTGCCTCTGCCCATACTATCGCTGATGCCCTCGTTCATGCGCAGCGGAGCTCCGTTGCCTGCCAGCGGAACGACGGCGGCCAGCATCTTGGCCGGCGGATCCTTGGACACTTCTGCCCTGCCCAACGCTCCCTACCAGAACGGAATTCTGGGTGCTCGTTCTGCCTCGCCAGCGGTGGTGGGAGGTGGAGGCTTCAGGGCGGCCACTGCCATTCCCAAGCGACCACCGACCTCCTCGTCGCCCCCACAACCTGGACTGGGTATTGGAGGATCACCCACTCCCCCACAGCAGCAGGCCAACGGAGGCGGTGGCGGAGCCGGGCGCAAGGATAAGGACTACGTGGTGGAGCCGGAGGTGGCCCAAATGCAGCGTCCTATCATACGCGAAGAGGACTTGGAGCGCCTCAACGCCATCGCCAAGGACGATAGCTGGACCAAGCAGGACGACATTGACTACACGAAGAAACTTACATTCTCGGACGACGAGTCCACTCCGGAAGAGCACCAAGGACAGGGCAAGCAGCACAGCTCCGCCCAACTGCAGGCGCAAGGATCCACCTCTTCAAACGATCAACGAAAGCTGTCTGCTTCCACTTCCAGTTGGCAACGCGGCAAGGAGAGCACCGATCGCGACCAGCCATCGGAAGGCATTCAGGATCAGCAGCTCCAACAACAGCAGCAGCAGCAAGAGATCCGTCAACAAAATGGCCACCGAGGTAGCTCTGGCAACGTGGGAGCACCAGTGGCCGGCGGAATCGCCTTGGATGCCAGCGTGTACGAGAGAGTAAAGCAGCGCAAGGAGGAGGAAGAGCGTCGCGAGATGGAACGCAAGCAGGCGGCTGCAAGGAAGTTGCAAGAACTGGAAATGAAGATGAATAGCAAAAAGGCAGCAGCGGCAGCACTGGCCGGAGCCGAGGGCGGAATGTCCTCTGGCTCAGTATCGTTGAGCAATGAGGTACCACCGCCGTCCGCTCCGCTAGGCAATGTAAGCGAAGATGAGGGTGGAGGCCAAGGCGGCGGCGGAGGCTTGCATCGCCGACCACGAGGAAGCATCTCCAGCTTGGGAAGCGGCGTAACTCCCACGGGAGGAGCTGGTGGTGGCGGCGGAGGAGTTTCGTCATCCTCGTCAGCAGGCGGCGACTACGGTCAAAAGTCCTTCCTTACCCATTTCCAATCAAATTTACCACCCCGCTTCCAGCGCCAGCAGCAGCAACAACAGCAGCAGCTGCCGCGCTTGGAGAAGAGCGCATCTGCAAGCAGTGCATTTGATAGCAATTCCCGCTACCTGCAGAAGGGTGGCGTAAGCGGAGGCGGTGGTGGCGCCAGTGGAGGAGCACAAACCAATGCTGGGCAGGGTCGCAGCATCTCTGGTGGTTATGCGCAGCGTAATTCGAGTGTCGGCGGATACGGGCGAAATCGTCACGACAGCAGCAGTGCTCGGGAGGACCAGGAGCTGGAACAGCAACAGCAGCGGTTCACACGCGGTCAGGACTATCGGCAGGCACAAGCTCTGCCACGCAGCATATCTGAGAACTCGCATCGTAAGACCAGCGTCTCATCGGCTGGCGACGATGTGCTGGGTGGCTCGTGCACCTCGTGGGCGGAGCAAACTGATGCCGAGCAGAAGGTGCACCATCGTCATCGCGAGGAGAGCTTCTCCTCGACCCACAGTCACGACTCAGCAGTGCAAATAAAGATCCTGCAACGCCCGGCCCGACAGCCGAGCCTCAGTGAGGAGTCTTCGAACCAGCAGAAGCAGCTGCCCGCCTCGCCGCAGCAGCAAAAGACGCTGACAGCAGATCCGATGCCCACTCAGATTCTGCGACGCAGCGTGGAGATCGAGAAGCCCGGTGACGAGCGCGCGGATGACAAGTCTGCATTGGAATCCGAAGACAAGGCAAAGTCGGCGGCTGGCAAGGTGGATGATGACAAGAGCGGCAATAAGCGGCCAAGTCCCAGGAGCGGAGCTGCTTGCGGAGGTCGAGGTGGCCGTGGCTATACTGGCGGCACTGGCGGATCATCTGTCGGATCGGGCAGTAGCTACCGCGGCCAGCGAAGCGCCAGCGATTGGGGTAACAGTCGTGGAAGTGGCGGCGGCGGCAGGCGCTACTACGGCAGCGGCGGTGAGCAATCGGAGCACTCCGAGGATGTGGACGAGGAGTGTTACAGCAGTGGAGGCGGAGCAGCTCGTCGCAGCCCAAAGGAATCCGGCAACGGTGCCCCCAATTCCGGTGCGTCGGCAAACAAGGCGGGTTTCTCGCCACGCGGCGAACCCTCTAGACGTGGTCGTGGTGGCCTCTCCAGCGGAGGAGGTGCCTCTGCTTCTGGTTACCGTCGACAGCCCGTGGGCACCGGCTCTGCTGGAGGATCGGGCTCGGGCGGAGCCGGCCGCAGCTATGGCAGACTTGGCTACGAGGAATACGGCAAGCAACAGCGAACCTCCGAGTCGGAGGCGGACCTAGACAAGACCAAGCAGAACCAGCTGGCACTCAGCGCCGGCCTGCACAAGCCAAGCAAGGATGACAAGGATTCGTCTGCGCTTGGGGGCGAGGAGAAGGACAAGACTGCCGCCCTGGCGCCTGCCCACAACACTGCCCTGCTAACAAAGGATGAGTTACAGAAGGATGCAGCGGGTCGCCTGCCACTGCCACCCGGCCTTGCGGCACCCGGCACTGCAGTGGGATCAGTGGGATCCGTTAGTGCCACATCCACATCGGTCGCTGCTCCCGGCGCGGCGGACAAGAAAAAGATTGAATCCTGCGCCGTTGTCGGCGGTGAGAAGGTGGCGGGTAGCAAGTTGCCCGCCATTGGGGAGAAGACTTCGCTCGGCGCCGTTGGCTCGGGTCCATCCACCAATCTATTGCTGGACGCCGGCGCACCCGTCAACACGATCATCTTTGAGAACTCCACATATAAGCAGCAGGCAGCTGCCGCTGCCGTGGTAACCAAGCCTGGAGCGCTCTCGGTGTCCAGCAGTGGCGCCACCATGGCCGTTGACAGCCTGTCCAGCGCACTCTCCCAGATGAGTTTCGGTGGCAAGGCGACGGCGGCGGGCTCTGGCGATGATTCGCAGGATATGAAACTCGGATTTAGCTTCGGCGACGATCCAACCACACCCCTAAAGGTTGTGGACACCATCGATAAAACGCCCAGCCAGCAGCAACAACAGCAGCAGCAACAACAACACTCTCAACAGCAGCAACAGCAGCAGCAGCAGCAAAACAATTCAACGGCGGATCTCAACATGAAGATTGCCAGCGTAAAGAAGGTTTGGGAGTCGGCCACGCCCATGTCTGACGGCCCATCACCAGCGCAGGTGCAGCAGCAACAGCAACAGCAGCCCCAACAGCAACAACAGTCCCAGGTGCAGGTGGTGCCGCAGCAGCAGCAACAGCAGGTGGTGGGACCGCAGCAGGCTGGTGACGACGGCAGTGGCCACATGAGCGCCGCCTCCTTTGTGGCTGCCGTCGCCGCCTCCCAGCATCAGCAGCAACACCAGCAAATGCCGCACTACGCGGTGCCGGCGGTGCACATGCAGAGCCACCACCACCAACAGCAGCAGCAACAGCAGGCAGCGGTGGCGGCAGCGCAGGCGCAGCACCACCAGCAGCAACAAGCACAGGCGCACCATCAGCACCATGCACTTTCCTCGCCGGGCCCGGGGCCCGGTAGTCATGGCCATGGCTTCGGTCATGGGTCGCCGTTCGACGCCGGATCGTTGGAGCAGCAGTTCCAGCAGGAGGATTACCCCAGTCCCCAGCAGCAACAACAGGCGCACCAGAAGACCAAACAGTTACAGCAGCAGCAGCAGCACCTGGGCATGTCCCCGCCGCCCAGCCAGCAACAACAGCAGCAGCAGCAGCATTCGCAACAGCAGCAGCAAGCGCAGCACCAGCAACAACAGCAGCAGGCCCACCAACAGCAGCAGCAGCAGCCTTCTTTCTACCAGGCGTCACCGCAGTTCGGCGTTGGAGGCATTCCCACTATCCCCAGTCCGCCGGCCGTGGTGTTCAACTCGTCGCAGATGCCGCCACCGCCACCGTCGCAGGGGGGTAATCTGTACGCTCCATTCCATTCGCTCGATCATTCGAGCCGTTCGCCCGCCTACTCGGCGGCGGCGGCCGCCCACAGCTTCCCGAACCACTATGCGGCAGCAGCAGCGGCGGCGGCGGCAGCGGCCGCTAGCGGAGGTCCCTTCAATGTCAACGTGAACGCATACACGATGCAGACTCCGCACGGCGGCAGCCTACCGCCCACGGCGCCCACACCGGACATGTACTCGAACCTCTCCTCCCAGTTCCGATTGGGCGGTGGTCCGGGTCCCGGACCCGGCCCCTTTGGCCAGCCCAGCTCGCAGCAGTTGAGCAATCCGAGCAACCATGCCGCCGTGGCTATAATCTCGTCAAGCAGCAACTCCATGATGTCGTCAGGTGCGGCCAAACCGCCGCCCAGCCAGCAGACCATCGGCGCCATTGGCTCCAAGTCGGCAGGTAGCGGTGGCGGTCCAGGACCAGGACCAGGTCCCTATGCCACCACCCAGCCGTATATGAATCTTTATGCGGGTCCACCGCCGCAGCATCCGGGACAAGGTGGCCCACCGCCGGGTGCCCATCAGCTGCAGTCGAACAGCTTCTATTCGAATTCGGCGCCAGGCGGTCCCAGCGGACCGCAGTTCTACGGTGGACCACCGCCGCAGGGCAATGGTGGAGCACAGAGCTATGGACTGGCCACCGCGGCCGGCATGTATGGCGGCCATCAGGGCGGACCGCCCGGTTCCAATGGGCCGCCGGGACCGCCGCAGTCGCAACACACGATGGGCACCTTCAACACACAGTTCATGAGCTCGCAGCTGCTGACGGCGGCCAGCATTAATCAATACCGCGGCGGACCAACGCCCGGAGCGGCTTATCTCAAGGGCAGCCAGGGCCAGGCACACATGCAAGACTCGGTAAGCGCAGGACTAGACCACCCAGTACCCATTTTCCCATACCTGTAATCATTTAATTGTTCGCCTAGCTCTATAGAAATTCGAAAATATCAAAAAAAAAAAAAAAATCAAGACCACGATCAAGAGCCAGATTCGAAACCAGTAAATGGTAAACCAGTAAAGAAGCAATGTATCTGATGTATTTATCCTTGGGTTAATCGCCATATTCTTTGAAACGAATTTATGTTATTAATTTGTGCTTGGCTTTCAACTACCATTATGTACATTTAAGAAACTCAATAAATATCTGATACATTAGTATCAATTTGTTTTCATACTTTAAAATCATTGAAACGTAATGCAGCGGCTTAAGTTAGAAAGCTATATTTGCCATAATGGCTCGGAGCTGGATGGATATGATAGCCATTGATTTATTCTATTTTATGCTCCTAATCACATTCATGCTTTTTTTCGCAGATGGGTCGCCAGCTGAAGAGTCCGCTGAGCGCCGACATGAGCCTCGGTCTGGCCAAGCAGGTGCAGTCGCAGCCCAGTCCACCGCATCACAAGAACTACGGCGCGGTAGGTTTCCTTTAAACCCAGCTTGGTGGACTGCCGTCTTATGCCTTTTCTTCTTCCTTCCTCTTCAGTGGGATCTGCAGAACCAGGTGCTTCAGCAGCAGCAGCAGCAATCTCAGCAGCAACAGCGACAGGGCGGCGGCGGCAATGGACCGAACATGAACGCCTTGGGCGGCCGTGGCAGCGGAGCGGTAGGCAGCGGTAGTGGCAACGGCGGAGGAGGAGGCGGTGGCTCCCAGGTGGGCGGCAATGGCGGCGGCAACGGTGTTGGCAGCGTGGGCCAAAGTGGCGGCGGCGGACAGGGACGCTACCCCACGCCCATTCAGCGGCCCAACAACTATCCGCAGCATCCGCAACAACAACAGCAGCAGCAACAGCAGCAGCAGCAACAGCAAAGGGAACAGGCGGCAGCTGTGGCAGCAGCGGCTCAGCGGGCCCAGAATATGCGACAGGTGCCCGGCGCCGGCGGAGGCGTGGCCGGAAGTGCCGGAGGTGGTGGTAGTCAAACACCTGTGGGACCGCCCGGCGGCAATAACGGTGGCAATGGTGGCCCCGGTGGTGCTGGAGGAGGCGGTGGAGCAGGCGGTGCGGCAGGATCAGGACCCGGAAAGCCCTACTATGCGAATAACGCCAGCGGAGCGGGCGGTGCGGGCAATCGGGGTGAGTGGCATGCGAACTGAGTGCCAGATGATCACCACCCACCGCCCAGCCACCCACCATAACACACCAGGAATATTACGAATCAGAAACACAATGATACAAATGGATAAGCGGAGGAGAGTAAAGTGCAACCTGGCCAAGAGCAAGAGCTGTAGAAATGTATCGCATCCAAACCGAGAACATAAACGTAAACAGAGCAAGTCAGGAGTAAAACTAGATATGTGGAATATAATCAAGTAACCAAGCGAGACACAGGCATCCGCATAAGCCCACAAATGATGTAAAAGGGGCGATGCAAGTAGGATAGTGAGCTATTTGGGGAAATCCCCGTCACAACCGCAAAATGGCAACTCAGCAAAATCAGCGAAGGCAACCGTAGCGAGGAAATTAATTTAAATCGCATAACGAAAGTAAGACGAAAGTTAAGATTCAACAGGAAACGTGTAAGGAATACCTAATTGCAAGAAGAAATATTAAAAAAAAGAGAACACAACACCATACCACACCACACACACAAACACATGCATACATTTACATATACATACATACATACAGAATAGCAGATTGTATTTTTTGTCAAACAAATTTACATAATAATATATTACTTTTATATACTTATGATTTTTTGTAGTAGAGTCTTTCTCATTTAAACGAATCAAGAAAAACGAAACCAACTTTTGGCACTGCGTATGCTTTAATTTCTTTATATATACATATTGTTTAATTTTTTTGCAACCAACAAAAAATTAACTAATAATTCTAATTTATGATTATGCTACAATATACATTATATATACCATCTATCTATCTACCTATCTATCTATATTGATATCAATCTTTCTGTGTAGACAGCGAATAAGAGAGAGACAGACAGACAGAGAGAAAGAGACAGACATAGACGGACAAAGAGAGAGAGAGAGAAAGAGAAAACGAACGGATAAGGGCGAATATTATAGTTTGTTTAAGCGCAAAGTTAAGTTCAAACTTAAAACAAATCCATACAAATCTCGACTTTTTAACAACAACTAATACAATTAGACATCACACTTGCGTGACAAATTGTACTCGGCGGACTCTATATTGTTATAGTCAAGTGAAACTAAACCCTGATCCTAACTAAAACTAAAACAGAGGGCGACAATTTAAAAAAATAGTGTTCAGCGCAATCGCACACGGGTGGCAGCGCCGCCGCATCCCTCGCAGCCAGGGCTGCCACCTCGGCCGCTGCCGGCGATAATTAGGTAATCGATTATCATTAACCCGCCAGTTCTGTTGCAATTTGAAAATCACGAAAAAGGACGTTTATGCTCAACGTAGAATGCTAATTGTGGGCAGTTGAGGAGGCAACATGAAATTTAAACGATTTATATAAATGTGTAATTCATTATGTAACTGTAACTTAACAAGGATATGATATGTATGGCATATAGAAAAAAAAAACAAAAAAAAAAGAAACAAGAACACAGGCAACCCACACATAAATATATATATAGAGGCAAAATCCAAGCGAAAAATAAACAAAAACACTCCAGCAAACATTTTTAAGGAAAAGCAAAAAACTCACAAATATATCCCAGTAACCGTAATTAAAACGATTATACTCGGATCAAAACCCGGCGGAGTGGGGCACGGATCTCTGAACTTCTCAAAAGCCAATGGGAGCACGGAAATCCCTGCCACATTCCGCAGGACTATGCGTAGTAGAATTAATAATTAAACAATGCAAAGAAAATTAAAATGAAAAGCATGAGCAAGGCACTTTTCGCTAGGCTTCTGAAAAGCAAACCGAAATAAAACAGAAAACCATATAGCGATATTAATTAGTCCACATATACAAACAAACACACACACACACACACATAAACTCTCTCTCACACATGCGCCCCAGCCACGCCCACATATGAAAAACCCAAAATATTTGGGACGTTTGCTATGCCAGGCAATGTTTAGTTATTAACAAAAACAAAAGCAAAACAAACTGAAATCGAAAGCAAACACAAATTTATGAAAATGATGAGTAAAAGTAAAAAAGCAAGCTTGCTATCACACAATACATGTAAAAGGTATATTATATAGCATATTGATAAATGATATAAACATTAATTTATACCTATATTTTAAATGCATCATCTGGTTTTTCGTCTCCACCAAAACAAGGATAGCAAACAGCATAAGCATGATAACGATTACGATAACGATAGCGACGACGTTTACGCCGGAAACGGAACGAAGAGGAAGAGTAGTCGATGGTGGAGAGGATAGGAGAAGAGAAGTGAAGAGTACTTGGCATATAAATGCATACAAATATATGTAAACCATTTTTACATTCAATTCATTCAAAATAATTTTTAGTAATACTGAATTTTCGTAAATATGGGCCAGCGAACGCTACGCCCACCGCCCCGCCCCCTCAAAAAGTCCCTACCCACGAAAAAGAGGAAATTTAAAGCAAGTTTGAAATGAAATAAAAACTTTAAATAAAATATTAAAAACAGAAAACCAAAAATGAAATGAAACCCGAAGTTTGGTAGATGTGTTGCTAGAGTAATGAAAACCACTGCTTATTCCTTTCAGCGAGTTTAGTTTGGGTTAGAAGGCACAGCTGGAATCATGGAATTTGTTCTTAATATCTCCCCATTTTCAATTTGTGTTTTTGCTAAAGCTAGCACTGACATTTCAAGCTTTTTATGAAATTAAGGGGCTGACGCTTTGGACTCAGATTTCTGCTAATATTGTGGTAATTGGTGAAAACATTTGTCCATACAATCAGTAAGGTTAGCAAATATTCATGATGGCCAGACAAACGGATTGAATGAACTGTAAGCTGCATATAACATTAGGATTCAAGAATATTGGACAATTCTCATATTACTGCTAGGCTGAAACTCAGTTAACAAGTGGTGTAGGCACTGGACGTTAGCTTATCTCCTGTAAAACCACAATGAAGCAAAAAAGCAGGTGGGCCACTTATTCTTATTATTAGCCCGGTCGATCATGCGTTTCCGTGTGTACCTGGTAGCCCAGAGATCGGTATGGTATCGGTATCACCGCAGTGATGCGCAGAAATCATGTGGCAGTCCCAGGATCGTTACATAATGCACTTGGGGTGTTCAGTGTGTTACATTCTCAGCTTATTTATTCCTTCAAGGTCTTGCACTACACATAAAATAAACTGATCCGGAATCCAGCGATGGCCCTGGGTCCACGCATTCCCGGATCCAAGACATCGGTTGTGGCGGATGAGTTGCAGCAGAATTGGTGCAGACGCATCCCTCTACTTCTTCTTGGGCTTCAGCACCTGGTAGGCGATCAGCAGTCCCACCACGGCGTACGTGGCCTTGGCCACCTGGACGGGGCGGGATAAATGGATGGCATAACACCCGGATTAGCATTACCACGAGCACGGCGTTCTCGGTTTCCATCTACTCACATTTGCACGGCCGCTCATGGTTTGGCCATTGAAGATTTTCGACAGGCCGGTCAGTTTCTCGCCTTCGCCAGCCATTTCTGCGTATTGAAAGCGATGCGTTTGCAGTGGAATTTAGTGAAAGGCTGAAGCGCGGACTTGGGCTACTCACCTTAAGGTTTATTTGCACGGAATTCGAGCTGCTAGTTGCCTGTAAAAAATATTTGCGAGCAGAGGTTATACAACTGAGCCTATCGGTGCTTATCGGTGCCTATCGGTGCATATCGGTATTCGATAGTGGTGTGGGATGCTTGTGGGGACTTATCGATACTATCGAGCTGGGCGTACAGTGTTGGAAGTGCTGGATTTGCCAACTGGGTTTCAGCTGACCAACACCGTCGGTGCGGCAATCAACACTGAACAAGTTAATTGGCGCGACAATTTGAAATTCTTAAATACAGTTCTGATGGATGTATAACAATTACACTGAATCAAGCTGAAATGTATGTACATATTTATTATAACAAACACTAACTATTTCCACCATATAACTTTAGGAAATATTTTAGTACATAACATACTATAAATATACTTTAAAATTATAAACTGAATAGATTTAATACAAGACGCCAAATATAACTTTCAGACATATTTTGATACATAACGTACCATAAATATACTTTAATATTATAAACTGAAAATATTTAATCCTGGAAGCCAGACACATTTTCCTGAGGTCCTTAAGACATCGGGCGGACAAATTATAGTATCCTTATCAAAAGTCAACGACAGCTTTGCTAATCGCGTCCAATTAAGGAGCTTAAAACAAATGCGCCACATCTATTTGCTTGTGTCGTGTCGCTCAAATCTGCACAGACTCATTAAAATTATAATGCACTTCCTGGGAACTAAAGACTGCCATTTGATTGTCAAGACGAGCGAGTGAAAGGGCCGGCATTAAACAGAATGCGGCGAAAGGCGGAAAAAATCGTATAATTAGAGCCATAAATGCACTTGAAGTCCACCCAGGTCCACACCCATTTAACCCACAAATCCGTGCACAAAGGAAGCATATTAAATGAAAGTAGTGCCAAATCCACCGACTCAACAATTAGTGAAAGTAAAAAAAAGTATGTACAGTCCTACCTACCTTACTCGAATCTCTGCCAAGTTGAACTTGGTCGTATTAAGAATATATTTTAAATCAAAAAGAATTTTAGTTTTTATGTAACTACTCAGAAATGCATACATACACAAAGAAAATTATGGGTTAAAGCAACTAGATTTATTTAGGTCCGTAGAAGCTTTACTGTATTTTTGACGTGACATTAACTTCCACGCCCACTCTGTAGAAAGTATAAGAACCCAACGACCGTACATTCCGCCAGTTAAAGATGAGCGACGAGGTCCAAGGGAAAAAAGAGGAGGAAAAGGACCAATCCTTGCGGGTGCAAATCCTTGTTTATCGCTGCATGGGCATCGATTTGTGGAGTCCCACGATGGAGAACGACCGTCCGTGGCTGACGTTTGTCACAATGGGACCACTTTTCCTGTTCATGGTGCCCATGTTCCTGGCCGCCCACGAGTACATCACCCAGGTGAGCCTGCTCTCCGACACCCTGGGCTCCACCTTCGCCAGCATGCTGACCCTGGTTAAGTTCCTGCTCTTCTGCTATCATCGCAAGGAGTTCGTCGGCCTGATCTACCACATCAGGGCCATCTTGGCCAAAGGTATGTTTCTATAACAATGAAAAAGATTTATATACAATACAATATAATGTATAATATGCAGAAATCAGTGTGTGGCCGGATGCGCGGGATATCATCGAAGTGGAGAATCAAAGTGACCAGTTGCTCAGTCTTACGTACACCCGCTGTTTTGGATTGGCTGGGATCTTTGCGGCCTTGAAGCCCTTTGTGGGCATAATACTCTCCTCGATTCGCGGCGACGAGATTCACCTGGAGCTGCCCCACAACGGGGTTTACCCGTACGATCTCCAGGTGGTCATGTGGTATGTGCCTACCTATCTGTGGAATGTGATGGCCAGCTATAGTGCAGTAAGTGCTTATTTTTCTAATTTAAAAATATTCGTACAAAGGTATAGTGGCATCGGCTAATATTAAAGTTTCCAAGTTTGCATACAGGTGGATAGGGAATTCTGTTAGAATTTCAACGACTTTGGACAACTACTTTTTTTTTGCTATTTTGTATCAAAAAAAAAACATAAAAAAAAATTTTGTCAAAAATCTGATATTTTCAAACTGGGTTTTTATGATTTCTTTTATGATTTTCGAAAAAATAAATTTTAACAAAATTTCTCATTTTCGATAAGGGGTACCCCCATCAAAATTTGCGAAAAATGGCAAAAAATTAGAATTTACTTTTTTGAATACACGTCGATGGGAAATTTTGTTACGAATTCAACGGGGTATAACATTCTAGGTTTGGACAACTATTTTTATTGCTATCGCAAAAAAACCGATTATTTTTATCAAAAAATAATCATAAAAAAAATTTTGTCAAAAATCGGATATTTTCAAACTGGGTTTTCGCCATAACTTAGCCAAAAAAGAAGGCACAGCTAAAATGAAGACTGTTTTGTCCTGCTAATAAACATAGCTAACTATGCCTATCACTACTTTTATGATTTTCGAAAAAATAAATTTTAACAAAATTTCGCATTTTCGATAAGGGGTACCCCCATCAAAATTTGCGAAAAATGGCAAAAAATTAGAATTTACTTTTTTGAATACACGTCGATGGGAAATTTTGTTACGAATTCAACGGGGTATGACATTCTAGGTTTGGACAACTATTTTTATTGCTATCGCAAAAAAACCGATTATTTTTATCAAAAAATAATCATAAAAAAAATTTTGTCAAAAATCGGATATTTTCAAACTGGGTTTCCGCCATAACTTGGCCGAAAAAGGGGGCACAGCTATAATGAAGACTGTTTTGTGCTGCTAATTAACATAGCTAACTATGCCTATCACTACTTTTATGATTTTCGAAAAAATAAATTTTAACAAAATTTCGCATTTTCGATAAGGGGTACCCCCATCAAAATTTGCGAAAAATGGCAAAAAATTAGAATTTACTTTTTTGAATACACGTCGATGGGAAATTTTGTTACGAATTCAACGGGGTATGACATTCTAGGTTTGGACAACTATTTTTATTGCTATCGCAAAAAAACCGATTATTTTTATCAAAAAATAATCATAAAAAAAATTTTGTCAAAAATCGGATATTTTCAAACTGGGTTTTCGCCATAACTTAGCCAAAAAAGGGGGCACAGCTAAATTTGAAGACTGTTTTGTGCTGCTAATTAACATAGCTAACTATGCCTATCACTACTTTTATGATTTTCGAAAAAATAAATTTTAACAAAATTTCGCATTTTCGATAAGGGGTACCCCCATCAAAATTTGCGAAAAATGGCAAAAAATTAGAATTTACTTTTTTGAATACACGTCGATGGGAAATTTTGTTACGATTTCAACGGGGTATAACATTCTAGGTTTGGACAACTATTTTTATTGCTATCGCAAAAAAACCGATTATTTTTATCAAAAAATAATCATAAAAAAAATTTTGTCAAAAATCGGATATTTTCAAACTGGGTTTTCGCCATAACTTAGCCAAAAAAGAAGGCACAGCTAAAATGAAGACTGTTTTGTGCTGCTAATAAACATAGCTAACTATGCCTATCACTACTTTTATGATTTTCGAAAAAATAAATTTTAACAAAATTTCGCATTTTCGATATTTTAAAAAAGTAAATTCTAATTTTTTGCCATTTTTCGCAAATTTTGATGGGGAAGGGGTACCCCTATCAAAATTTGCGAAAAATGGCAAAAAATTAGAATTTACTTTTTTGAATACACGTCGATGGGAAATTTTGTTACAAATTCAACGGGGTATGACATTCTAGGTTTGGACAACTATTTTTATTGCTATCGCAAAAAAACCGATTATTTTTATCAAAAAATAATCATAAAAAAAATTTTGTCAAAAATCGGATATTATCAAACTGGGTTTTCGCCATAACTTAGCCAAAAAAGAAGGCACAGCTAAAATGAAGACTGTTTTGTGCTGCTAATAAACATAGCTAACTATGCCTATCACTACTTTTATGATTTTCGAAAAAATAAATTTTAACAAAATTTCGCATTTTCGATAAGGGGTACCCCCATCAAAATTTGCGAAAAATGGCAAAAAATTAGAATTTACTTTTTTGAATATACGTCGATGGGAAATTTTGTTACGAATTCAACGGGGTATGACATTCTAGGTTTGGACAACTATTTTTATTGCTATCGCAAAAAAACCGATTATTTTTATCAAAAAATAATCATAAAAAAAATTTTGTCAAAAATCGGATATTTTCAAACTGGGTTTTCGCCATAACTTAGCCAAAAAAGAAGGCACAGCTAAAATGAAGACAGTTTTGTGCTGCTAATAAACATAGCTAACTATGCCTATCACTACTTTTATGATTTTCGAAAAAATAAATTTTAACAAAATTTCGCATTTTCGATAAGGGGTACCCCTATCAAAATTTGCGAAAAATGGCAAAAAATTAGAATTTACTTTTTTGAATACACGTCGATGGGAAATTTTGTTACAAATTCAACGGGGTATGACATTCTAGGTTTGGACAACTATTTTTATTGCTATCGCAAAAAAACCGATTATTTTTATCAAAAAATAATCATAAAAAAAATTTTGTCAAAAATCGGATATTATCAAACTGGGTTTTCGCCATAACTTAGCCAAAAAAGAAGGCACAGCTAAAATGAAGACAGTTTTGTGCTGCTAATAAACATAGCTAACTATGCCTATCACTACTTTTCTGATTTTCGAAAAAATAAATTTTAACAAAATTTCGCATTTTCGATAAGGGGTACCCCCATCAAAATTTGCGAAAAATGGCAAAAAATTAGAATTTACTTTTTTGAATACACGTCGATGGGAAATTTTGTTACGAATTCAACGGGGTATGACATTTTAGGTTTGGACAACTATTTTTATTGCTATCGCAAAAAAACCGATTATTTTTATCAAAAAATAATCATAAAAAAAATTTTGTCAAAAATCGGATATTTTCAAACTGGGTTTTCGCCATAACTTAGCCAAAAAAGAAGGCACAGCTAAAATGAAGACTGTTTTGTGCTGCTAATAAACATAGCTAACTATGCCTATCACTACTTTTATGATTTTCGAAAAAATAAATTTTAACAAAATTTCGCATTTTCGATAAGGGGTACCCCCATCAAAATTTGCGAAAAATGGCAAAAAATTAGA